CGACGTGACTCGTGGTGCGGGTTACGCTCGACTCTCTGGTACGATCATCGCCACCGTACCAAGAGGCCTTCAAAAACAAAAGACGGTCAGAGACGACGACAACGGCTTTTCGGCTCACGCGGCTCTGGTCGTCTCGTGTGCAACCATCGTCTCGTGTGCAACCATACATTGTAGCGGCTTCGAACGGCTAAGGCGTATGTGGTGCCTTGGCCGCCACATATCCTTTGTATTTTGTTCAGAGTACGCTTTAACAAAATTGTTTGATTTAAATTTGCCATCAAGTTTTCAAATACCGTAGAAACCTTTCGTAAAAACATTTACTCTTTCCTTCTAAAGGATCCTGACATCTCATCATCGTACTTGTGGATCCACAGAAACTCGACGATGATCTCGCTGCTGACCTTGATGCTGACTTCGTCTCTAACGTCGCTGATGACTTCGCTGATGACTCCTACTAGGCAACATCGTCGCCCGAGTGCTTGAATTCTTCAGTTGGTGAGTCGCATGCTATTTTGTTTCCTCTGGTCCCCAACCATGTTGTAGGATGAAATATCCGAATCAACACGGGTGGCCAGTTGTATACTTGGTATTTTTGACGAGTTAAGTGACCGCGGGTATGAAAAATACCCATGAGTTATATTTTTTTAGTGCAAGCTAGGGTCTTCTTGCACTCGCGTTTTTTAATGTTATCAATAAATATTACAGAATATGATTATTACACAATTTTGATAAAATATATGAAATATGTTTATTATCTTTATATGAATTAAATAATTGAGTAGAATATGAATTAATATAATGTGAAAACATTATATTAATCGTATGATTGAGTAAAATATCTTACATCATTAATATAATTATTAAATATTCGTTTTATTAATTAATACATCATATGATGTATTTTATGTGCAAGAAGGCGTTTCGCGACTGGTCGATTTTCAACTCAAAGGAACATGCATGTTAATTTTATTTTTTTTTAAATTTACTTTGACGACAGAATCGACCAAGGTTAATTGAATATTTTGAATAATAATTTAACGAATTTATTTCAATTTGCAAAGTAAATTATTTTATCATGAAATCTTTATTAAAGTCTTACATTTTGAACAATTAAATTTCAATCACAAATTTTTCTTGAATAATAATATCTTTCAATATTAACGTACTCTGTTGTTGATATATTACATATAACAAGTCGAGTCATTTTAACTGAGAATAGATACCGTTTAGTTAATTATTAATAACCAGTTGTTTTAGTCAGGATTTTCAGGATACTTTTCCGTGTTCGTTGCCTAAGTTCATGCAGATGCCCAAGTGTTATTTGCACGAGCGAAGGCAACGGGGCACGATGACTTAGTTTGTAACATCTATAATAATAATTTATCTGTGCGACTGACAATGCTAGTGTCTCGTGCACGATGTACTGTCCACATATGTGTGTTTGTGGTTAGGTTGTGGAAGTACATCGTATCAAAAGTTCATCACAATTCAGATACAGAATTTTTTGACATTAGATTCATAACAATCACAATAATAATATTAAACTTATAGTTATTATTTACTTGGCAATTGTTCGTATTGCATACACGTCGATAATATTGTAAAATGCATAATGAATTAGCTTTTCAATCTTATATAATAATATATGTATAGAGTATATTTTAATAAAGACTATATCAGATATATTAAAATGTTTTACATAAATAATAAAAGTACGCAATGGGCACTAGCTTTGTCAGTCCACTGCAAAAACTGGTACGTACACAATTAGAGTATGAATGAGGTTGTGTCCGGGTGTCGGAGGAACCCCGGGGAGTCCTCTCTAGTTTAGGTCGCGCCCGGACATTCAGAATGAGAACCGTGGAGTGTTTGTTTGAGAGACTGAGTTTTGCATTTTTTTAAATATAGGGTTAGGTAGGTAGGTAACTTATTCTCTGGTGTGTCTGTTTAAACCTAAGTAGGTAGGGTCAGGGCAGGGCTGTCCACATTAGTAATTCGGCTAGGCGCGTTTTCGCGTGGCAGTTCTGTTACTGTAGTTACGATTTCGAGGGTAGAAATCTTGCTGATTCAAATGGTGCACTTGTGCTGTTTGTTTCGGCTTTATTTTCGACTCCTCGAATCGCGCGACTCTTCAAGTCGCTCTCTCGCGCTCGCGGTCGGGATTAGGTCCCTTTCGAAACGTTCGTCCCGCTCGAGATTCACCACGTATGCTCTTGCAACAATTCGTATATTGTTGGAAGACTACGTATTGCACAAAATCTCCAGCCCGGTCTTTCGTAAGTTTCAGGCATCGGCAGGACCGCCGAAGAAAGAAAAGGCTCTCAATGAGCCGAAGAGGCCCTGACAAACTGTCTCAAGAGTGGGCTGCAACAAATGGCTTTTCATCTTCATCCTCGGATGAGAATGGAAAGTCATTCCTGTTACTACTTTGTCACTTAACTCGTCTGTAGTTGTAGTTAGTTTATTTTTCTGACTCGTTCACGTATGCATGTACCTGATGGTACATGATTGCACCATACATGCCAGCCATCCCTCCCCATAACTCGCGGTTATGATATACATAGAGTTGCGAGTATCCAATAATCGCGTTTGCTCGTAGAGTTGCGAATCACTGTTTTTCGCGTTTCCTTTTCAGGGTAGTGTTGCGCCTTGACACGATACGCGATTGGTTTTTTGCAAACTTAGGTACCGAATGTTTGCTTAAAAATAGCGTTGCGAATTATTGATAAACGTGATTGCTCGTAGAGTTGCGAAATACTATTTTTCGCGTTTGCTTTTCAGGGTAGTGTTGCGAACAATCACAATTCGCGTTGCTTTTTTACTCTTTTATATATATAATAATGGATGTCAACCGCGTTTGTAATTTTCATGTTATAAATTAGCGTTGCGATCTTGATTAATCGTGCGATTTTTTATTTAGCGTTGCGATATTTTCAATGCCCAAATTCTACCCCAATTGTAGTACTAGTAGTAGTTAGTTTATTTTGTGGCCAGTACGTGTCTATGTACATGTACCAATAGCCCCTGATTAAAGTTAGAGTTGCGAATAATATACAATGTTCGCGTTTGCTCGTAGAGTTGCGAACAAATATTTATCGCGTTGATATATTAGTGCTGCGAATAAATACGATTCGTGATTGTCTTTACGCAAACCTAGGAACCGGGCGTTTGCTTTAAAAATAGCGTTGCGAATTTTTAGTAAACGCGATTGCGAATTAGAGTTGCGAATTACTATTTTTCGCGTTTGCTTTTCAGGGTACTGTTGCGAATAATTACTATTCGCGGGTTGCTTTTATTTTTACAAGTCGCGTTTGGAATTTTTTCTATTATAAATTAGCGTTGCGATTGTTGATTTATCGCGTTGTTGCCCCGTAGTGTTGCGATATTTAAACGTCTAACTTCATCCCCATATGTGCCACTCTATTGTAGTTTGAAGTAGCTTGATGTAGTTAGTTTCTTTGTACAATTTTATTTATTGTCTGATTTATGTTTCAGGGAAACATCGTGGGATTAATCAAGACACCAAGAAGAAATATTTTTTCATATTTATTTGTTTTATATGAGTTACATATTTTATTGGATATGAGTTTTTGTTTCAGGAAAACATCGTGGGAGTGACGAAGACACCAAGAAGAAAATATCTTGTCGTATTTCTTTGTTTCATGTCGGTTATAATTTATTGTATATTAGTGTATGTTTTAGAAAAACATCGTGGGATTGATGAAGACACCAAGAAGAAAATATTTCCTCATATTTCTTCATGTTTCTACAGATTGCGTTAGAATATAAGTACAAATGTATATAGATTATAAGATAAAAAAGCGTTCTCCTGCCGTTTATTAAATATTACCGAAACGTGTGCGTAAATTTAAGTGGGAATGATTAATATTAAGATACATATTAGTATTCTAATATGCAAGGTCCATACGTCAAGTTGCACATTTCTGGTTGGATCTTCAGGATCCTTTCTTCGTTTTGTACGAGTGTTTTGTTAGGCACTGTCATAATGCAAGTATTTATTTAAGAAGGAACAATTAATAATAAAGTACATATTGATAATTTAGTAATCAGGATTCATACGTGCAGTTGCACATTCCAATTTCGTTTCTAGAAAACATGTGATGGATTATTTCACATGTATCAACATTTTGTTAGGTTTTTGATCTCTTCATCGGTCAGAGTTCGTGCGTGCAGTTGCACATTTCAATTTCGTTTTTAGAAAACATGTGTATCATCTCTCATGTATTGACATTTTGTTAGGTTCTTCGTCTCTTGATTGGGCAGTTCTTTTAAGAACTCTCCTTTTCTAGCTCGTTTCTAACTTTTCGATAGCTTCTCCCTTAGATAGGTATTCGAATTTCTCGCCAAAGGAAGGGTGGTTGGGGCGAGGCTAGGGTGGGTCTCCAGTCGCAGCAACCTCCACGTGGTGAGACCCGGGTCATATTATTTACTATGTAATTAATATAATTATTAATTACATAGCAAATAATATGAGCTAATGGCTGCGTTCTTCTTATAGTTCCACATACCTTCTTCGTCCTGGTGTGCGGTCTGATAACACTGATTTCGAGTCGCAAATACGTTTTTGCCGAGTTAGTTTTTAAATAAATAATATATTACAATTTAAAATCAAAAATAGAGGATTTGCGGTGTATTTATCAATGAGATCCTTACGTATTTTAATAATTTTGAAATCTTTAAATAATCTCAATCGATTGGTTTTTCCAATGAAATTAATCGATTAATGTCCAATGATGGACCCTATAGCTTTAATTCTTAAATTATTAAATTCTCTAATTAATTATTAAATATGTATTATTGGGCTCGGAAAATAAATTCTACGCGTACGTTATAATGGATCTGTATCCGCCTAGACGATGGTAGTATCAGGTTCTATGTACAGCATAAAGAAACGTTCTAGGTAATTAGTAACGAAATTTCGTCAAAAAATATTTTAATAGAGGTGTACAAACATGGGTAAAAAAGAAAAACGATCGCAATAAAAAAGGACGAATAGAATAAATCTATATTTTAGAAACAGTCTCCCTTTAATTCTACAAGTACGAAAAATTCATGATGCATATGAAGGTGTATAGCACTGCCGAGATATATGAACGCGTGTAGGCTCCCAGCTTCTCTCGGAAACGGGCTCGACGTCTTCTGTACGAACATCTTGTTTCAATTTTACTGACGTCGACGCTCGCGCGTCGTCGCGTATATGTCTTTTTTGTTTTGTCTCGAATCGTATTGTTCCCCCTCTCGTTGTCGCGAACTCAATCTGCTCAGAACGGATCGTGATTTATCCGTGACGTTCTGACGGTAGTTACGATCCTGAAACGTCTCGGAGCAAATCGCTCCTGTACGTTCTCTCTGGGCATCGCATCAGAGAACTTTGTTTCTTAGGCGTCCCAAACTCGCTATTTCCGTTTCCAACACATCTCCGCGCTAAACGACGCCGATAAAAAACACGAAGTCAGGCATAAAGTACAAACAGAAAGTAAAATCATTAATTCCTTCTGATACCTGTAAAAATTCTGGCGGTTTGCGAGTAAATCCTACGCCAGCCGGCGTGCCGGTTAGAATCACGTCCCCAGGTAACAGAGTCATAAATCTGAAAAGCGTAATTGCATAATCAATTTCCTACGGCCGCAGAAGTTGACATTTATGCGTTACTTTTAGCAACGAATTGTTGTAGTATTATACGGTCGTCTATAACGTTCTATAACCATTGTCTCTAAACGTACTGTGAAATGTAGGCAACGATCTCGTGGGGTTTAAAGATCAATTCGCTGGTGTTCCCGTCCTGCTTGATGTTGCCGTTCACCCACGTTTTCACGGACAAATTGTTGATGTCGCACACGGCCTCCTTTGTGACGACAGCCGGCCCCAAAGGGCAGAACGTGTCCATCGCTTTACCGATTAGAAATTGCCCGCCGTTTCTCTTCGATTTCTGCCAATCCCGCGCCGTGATATCTTGAGCCACTGTATAACCGAAAATACAATCCTGCCCTTCGTCATTGTTCAGTGCTTTACACTTTTTGCCAATCACTATCGCAAGCTCAGCCTCCCAGTCGACTTTCTGCAAGAAGAGATCCATCAATATCAGAATAAACAATACTGACCACCAACAATGGGATTAATATTGTACAGATACCAAATAATAAGTTGTTTTGCAATATTATCAACGCTCATTTGCTAATCTATAATTTCTCATCGAGTGCTTTGATATCTCATTATTTGAACATTATCAAAATCCCATCAGTCTCAGTATACGTGATTTAACGTTGAACAGAGAGTGTAAATAGCTGAATAACTGGGTAACTCGATTGGTAAATCATTTCTCTCCTCTCACATGGAAAGTGTAGATAAGATCAATAAGATCCCAGAAGTGAAAGCTCGGTCGTGCAGGAGTGAACGGTGATTAGGCACATATTATCGCTTGGGTCTATAGTCTGTCTTTAAAAGTAAGACCATGAAGGGATGAAAAGAACTCACGTTGAGTCGATTCGAAAGATCTTATTTGACTTGTTAAACTATGCATGTTTCTATTATTAAATCTCGAAAGCCCGTTAAAACGTTACATAATCGACTCGACTAAATATAAGCGGTCACGGCTAAGCGGAGATAGTTCGACGTGGACTTTCTGCATCTCGAACCCCGACGATCGATCTTGAACTTACGTCTGAAATTGGTGGGAGCATGATGTTGTCGCGTGGCCCGATGATGTTGCTGGGAAATTTGCTAAAAACAACCGGAGTCTCTGGCGGCGATACGCCCTGCTCCTCGCAGTGGCCGCTGTAGTTTAGGCCAATGCACGCCAGCTTGTCCATCCGCGTGACTGGCGCTAAGAAGTTCACGTCGGCTTCCGGTATCACGCTCCGTCCTTCGGCCACTATTCTGTAATTGTTCCAATTGCGTTAACGACAAGATACCCCTAGCATTATCTTCTGGCAGCGTCAGACATTCTTCGATTAACTTTCTATTAGCCTATTAGTGAACATTCATTGGTCGCGTGATAGTTAACTGATTACATAAAAAAATTACATATCGCACGGAATTGTTAGAGTTCTCTATTTGTACTTGTCTCGGAGCGTATAAAGCAATAATGCAAATTAAACTATTTTACATTTTGTGCTTTATGTTGGGTCCTCGTCCAGGAACGATTTAAAAATTCTACTGTATTAATTACCTAAATTGACTCATATAATTCCTGAGGAGGATCTACAACATGGGTTGAAGCGTAAAATTTTTTAAAATTTGAATCACTGACTAATTACTAAATAAATACAATTTGAAGGAACACTTTATCGATCGATGTTCAAGAGAATAGAAAATATTTGTTCACGTTCTATAAGAAACATTTGTGTTATTGTAAGTTCTGAGGTAGGTGGTGATATTTATACAAGTATCGATTATGCGTCAATGGTCGCTTGAAATAGCATCGTGCACGAGATTTCATTCAGTCGCAACGTTTTCACTGAAAATGTTAAGCTGGCCCCGGAGCTTGCAAGCTCGCCAACTGGCACGCACGCGAGGCGCCAGTTTTGGTTAACATATGCACCCGTTAAATTTAATTGACGATTGCGAAAAATAAAAGCCGTGGTCGCCGATATTTTTACCAAAAACAAAACTATACACAGCAATGCCATTCAGAAGAGACTCGCAAGTGTTTAGTATTTCCAGTGGGGAACACCATGCAGGTGGTGTGTCTGTGAATCATGAGGTGTAATGTGTCACGTAGTATTGCAAAATTGTATTAAAACAAGATTCGTTCGATCCTCGAGTGTATCGTTGTTTTATGTAATGCGATGATCGAACAGATGGCAAAGGTATCCACGATCGCTCGAGAATAACAAAAAGGTGACTGTATCGATTCTGATCGAGACTAGGGCTGGGACTAATTCAATAAATTTAAACAAGTTTATTACAGAGATAAAATTTAGTTTTTCTCTAAAGAAGGAATAACTAGACTTGAGACAAATTGGGGGAAAATTGTAATGGAAGATTCTAGAGGCCAAAATAGTACGAAAATCAAGAATACCAATTTGTTGATTGAGGCTTCGTTAAAAAGTTATTAACGTTTAAAGTTCCACCAGTGTTGAATTTTTTTCTCGAAAGTGGGTAGGATTTCAGGGGTATGTCTATCGACCAAAAATGATTATAATTGACCCCTGTAACTAGAAATAATTATTTTAGGACGATTTGAAATTTTTTAATTTTGTCGAAAAATTTCATACCTTCTCGAATTTTTTGCTATAAACTGGGTAGAATTTCGGGGGTATGTATATTCACCAAAAATTATTGTAATTGATCTCTGCAACCAAAAATAATTTTTTCAAAATGATTTGAAATTTTTTAATAACTTTTTAACGAAGCCTTAGCCAAGAAATTGATTTTCCAAAGGTGGCCGAATACCTTGTATAAAGAAAACCTAAGATGTTAAAAAAATTGTGAAAAAATATTTAATTATACTCATTTAAGCCGCTTATCGCGAAGTTTGTCGCCATTTGTCTGGCTGATATTAAATTTTGCAAGCGAATGACATTCATTTCCGTTATAAGGAGATAGCCTGCTATTACTCTCATAATTTTTCTTTTCTAACCAACTTAATATCCGGATAATTTGAGTTTCAATAAACGATGTTTTACTGCATTCGAATTTTATGGATATTTGAGATAAAATGGTCGAGTAGAGAAAATTGCGACGAGTAGTCTCCGCCCTAATCGAGACCAGATCGATTAGCGATTGCAGGAACGAGGTTCGCAAACATTGAACGATCCGTTAGTACACAAGCTCGTCCCTTCTCCAACAGGACACGTCCGATAAAGTAAACGATAATGCGTTCGAGGATCTTGTTCGCGTGCGATCGCGACCGTGTCACCGCGCCATCGTCGCGATAACAAATTCTAGCGTACAGGTGGGCGACACGATCGCTAATCGAAATCGACTAGTCGATGCTTTCGCCGCGGGAGATTATCAGCGAAAGGTGCATTTAAACCTGATTTCAATCGGTGAAATAATACCAGCCATTCTCTTTGCGTTTATCACGCGTCAGTAGCTCCGATAAGATTCGCGAAAGCGGAGAAATTCTAATGAAGTATTTGCACAAAGTCATTCAGGTGTACAGGGTGTCCCAACTAACTTGAATATCTCGTAAGGTGCTCGAGTTATGTGGGACACCCTGTATACAATGTGAATTTTAATGGGAGATTCTAGAGGTCAAAATAGAACGAAAATCAAGAATACCAATTTGTTGATGGAGGCTTCGTTAAAAAGTTATTAACGTTTGAAGTTCCGCACGTATTGAATTTTTTTCTCGAAAGTGGGTAGGATTTTAGGGGTAGGACTATTCACCGAAAATGATTGTAATTGACCCCCGCAACAGAAAATAATTTTTCCAGAACGATTTGAAATTTTTTAATTTTGTCGAAAAATTTCACAGCTTCTCGAATTTTTTTCTCGAAAGTGGGTAGGATTTCGAGGGTATGTCTATTGACCAAAAATGATTATAATTGATCCCTGTAACTAGAGATAATTTTTTTAGGACGATTTGAAATTTTTTAATTTTGTCGAAAAATTTCACACCTACTCGAATTTTTTGCTAGAAAATGGGTAGGATTTCGAGGGTATGTCTACTGACCAAAACTGATTATAATTGACCCCCGCAACCGAAAATAATTTTTCCAGGACGATTTGAAAAATTTTATTTATTTACTTATTAAAGATAAATAAATAAAACGATAAATTCGAAGAATCGGATTCATAGTCCACATCAGAATATTCAAATATTCAAATTACGGTCGAATATTTTAATACTCCAGTCCAAGTATTCGAACGGAGAAATATTCAGACATTCCCAGCCCTAGTTGTGAGTCGAGTTAACTTCCATGCGCTCGATAAAGGGTTGTTTTCGTGTTGCGTGTACAAAACAGGGAATTCTACAGTAACGTACGCAAACACAACGAGTCAATGTTCAAGAAAAGTTTTGTTGGGGGATGGATCGGAGGTGCAAAAAGTCGATTTCACACTAAATTTCTAAAGAAACGAACCTCTTTAGCAGGGCCCACAGGTCAACATCGTCATCCCTAGTGACAAAATGGTTCAAAATAAAATTAAACCGTGTGCTAACAACCACATCAAATATCGCCGGCTCTCTAATTGAGAATATTGTTTACGTTGAATATTTTAAATTTTTTCTTCGAGGACTTTTTGCTGTTTCTACGTGCCTCACGAGTTACCAGAGCCATGCGATTACAGCGAATTTTACGATACGATAAGCATGTTATTGTCGGCCTGGTATCTTAATATTTACGCAATCTGCAATCTTTGAATCTTTGCGTTTCAGAGTGATTAAAAGCGGAGATTAGTTTAAATGCCAAAAAAATATTTTTCAAAATAGTTCAAATGTAAGTTCAAAAAATATTCCATGGTAGGACTCAAAGGCGAGCAGAATTTATTTGAATAATTTTATAATTGCAATTTTTATTGAACAAATCAGGGGGCAAACGTTGTTTGTTTTGCATCTGTTATTCGAAATTTTTATCTAAATTCACGTTTGTTCGTCTGTGTCTCCAGACCACCGTCTCATTTGAGAGAATAATGATGTTTTCGATTCTTATGGAATCAGCCGACGATTAGTGATCTTCGTTGCTTAATATATCGTAAACTATCGATTATCTGAGCAAATACCGATAAAATTTTTGTCGATTCTCTATCCACGAGGCTTCATTAAAATCGGTACGTAACATATGTGGTTCCCGTAGAAACCAGCAAGTTACGTATTCTCGGTCATTATATGACTCATTAGGTAACGATATAATTTTCCATGCATGTACGGGGATTTCAGTCTCGAAAGTTACTTACACAATAATATACAGGATGGACTTTTAAAAATAATTGTGTTAACAAAATTTAATCAATTAAAAATATACAATTTCGAGGGACAATTTTTTTTCTCCTTAGAAATAATATAATCATTTTTATCCACCCAATATTTTACTCAAGTAATAGACAATAATTGCATATAATGAAACATATAGCGATTCATTCAATCGTATAGTTACTCAAACAAATTTTTGCTTGCTCATGGGATGCAATATCATTTCATAACTCAGACTTTAATTCTTCATAAAATTTTTATAAAATTTTCATTCGTTACTCGATTTTTGCGTAGATAAGAATTTTTCAAAACACTCGTATTTTTCTGTAATAAGTTCGCACGGTTATCACCATGCGTAAGTGCTATTTTTCACGTATGTGTTTACATGAATTTCGTATCAATCAATGAGCCGACGCGATAATTCGCGATAAGTGAACGCTTATCAGTTTTTTGCCCACGTAGCTGTGGATTAAGCGCGAATTAGCCAGGTCACACCTACCTTTTGGCCTTCTTTAGAAGATCATCGCCACCCTCGAGAAACTTCTTCAACGTGTTCGGGATTCTCGAGTCGACCGCGGACACGGCAATTATGTCTCCGCCCTGTTTCAGCTGCACCCCCAAATGCTGGGGGCCCCCATTCTTGCTGGTGAACTGCACGAACCTGGACAACAAATAAACACAATACATATAAAGCGGTTGAGTCACGAGCTTGACCCGGTCCTCTAAATATAGAGACTTTTATCGAGTGTCATTTATCATAAACGAAATCCGTAGAAAAACAGCAAAGAAAGTCTAAATCTTTTTTAACGTACACGTATTTTAATTTCAAATCCAATTTGCAATTGAAAAAGTCTATGTAAAAAATATTGAATTTGTCAACATTTTTTTTTTATTTTAGAAACCTCGTAGCATTATTAGAAAGGTATAAACGTTTTCAGTCCTTTTGCCAAGTATGGTCAAAATCAACTGGCTGTACAAGGTCACGCTCCCCACTGAATTACGTCAGAGACGACGCCTACTTTTAGAGTAGCGAGGAGGAAGTAGTCAAATACTAAAGGTAGCTCTTCGATAACTTTGAGTGACCAGCTAATTTCGATTCAACTTATTATAGTTCGATTTACATGTGCAAAATAATTGTAATAAATTATATATTTCACGTGTTTATTATAACGACTAGATTGACAAAGTGTCGATTCTCGATCTCATTTCTCCGATTGTTTACTCCATTTCGCGCGGAAAGAAATGTTTTCTTATGTCACTGTCGGGTCTTCGGTATCATTATTCACCCTACGAGCCATTTGCGTTGAACAGGTTTCTGTGAAAGCGAAGACAATTTCCCCTCAGTTGCGCACTTCTACTGGCTAAAGTAAAGAAGAAATCTCAAGGTTGTCATTATTATACTACTGTCGATCGATAATATTCGATGATTTGATAAGGGTGTGCCTCAAGTGCACTCTTGAATCCAAGTAGTTATTAACCTATCTTTGAACGCATAATCGTCGCGAAAGAGCAACATTAATATGGATACATAGGTATATTTACTCGCGTTTAAATAATGAAACAAATGAATTATTACATGATAACAATATGGGTGATAAATGAAACCAGTAGACAGTATACAAATGTTATTTGTTACGCCTGTTCCATTTACGTGTTTCAATTACATAGTTTAATCTGCTCTTATCAATTTCGGTCAACAAACTAATCTACAATGTTCTGTCTAGAAAAAACGAACACAAAATTATTTAGAGTATATATTTAATCTGACTGAAATTGATTAGAAATTTATCAGTTATACGGTACGAATTAGTCCAATGGTTAATCAAATCAATTGTGTCGCTAAAATTACATAACCGTGACGAAAACAATAAGCCCTATGATTAAATTATTTGTAAACAGCTGAACGACTTTATCAGCGACTTTGCTGCCACCTGTGTCGTTACGAATGCGAGCATATTCGACGTTAATATGCGTAAGTAATCAGAGAAAGTCGTAAACAAACAGTTCGCATAATCAATATGGAAAAATCAAGGGGAATAATGGCCACAATACTGAACGAACATTATTCGGAATCCGGTTACGCAAGTAATTATCCTTTATTTCATAATCCAAATTGCCTGCAGTACACGCAAAACAATTCCATTATTATCAGATCCGAAGAAACTAAATCGGCTCTGGAATCATCTTAAATAAGTATTTATGGTCGCAATTAATTTCTTTAACCATACTAAATTAAAATTAACACGTAGTTTGATATCAGAAATTACATCTGTTAGGTTCGAAATTACATAGTGTTGTTCACTTTGTATCTCGTATACTATATGTATTGATATAATTTTATACTTAATTCATATTGTTCTTTTTTCGTAATATTTCAAAATATTCGAAATTTTCGACTATACGATGTCGTTATCATTCTTACATTCCTAGAATTTTAGTTATGCAGTCCTTGATCTTAAATTTCTGTGAAAATAACATCGCATTCGTATTAATGTATGTTCCTTTGATAACATGTTTCCTGTACGCATGTGGCTAAGTTCAGCATGAACGGCGCCTTCTAAATGTGCAAGTTCAGGCTCGTTCGGTGTCGATGACATAATTACGTTTAATCGAATGTATTCGAGGGTTTGAATCAAATTATCCGATAAATTATCACACGAAATTGATTCACGCGTCTCGGTGAATCGACCTACGTAATTTGTCCATTCTAAATACAGGTGAATGACACTGTAAAAGTGAATGGGTTAGAAGTTTCGACTTAAAAAGACTGAAGTTAAACCCGCATACCTAGTAGTCTGCTATCGTTTCTATATTCAGTTATAAGTATATCATTTTAGACAGTCTGAAACGTTTCGATGCAGAAACGAACCGCAATATTATTTCTTGTATTTGCCACACGCACACGGTTCGAGCACGCCATTGAATCAAACGAAACCACGTTACTTTCCCATCGCAAAATTACGATCCAAACGAAACAGAGAACATATACGTAATCGTGTCTATTAACATCGCGTGCCAGTTTTGAGAAAATCGATTCCCTGCTCGGATGAACGGACAAGTAAACAAAAAAGAATGTGCAAAAGTTAGACGGGAGAAAGTCAACCAAGTATACCGCGCGAAATTTGATTAGGATCAATTATCTGTTAAAATTTAACGTTTTAGAGGTTTTTATTGTTATTATTGAGCTGTTATAAGGTAGAAATCCCGGGTAGATTTGACTCACCTCATGTCAAGCGCACCGCTTGCGGAAAAATTCCTGCCGCAAATGCTAGCAGCGAAATGCGTGTTGTTCTTCTCGGCGCACGTATTTCTAAAGGCGAAGCCAGCTCTGCTGAGCAACCGAAGTTTTCCGCGATAAGGCATCGTTTTTATTTAACTACTCCCGGCGAGATACGAACGTAATGTTATTAATCGTTCCTACGGGAGGAAAAAAGGGATGCCACCGGTAGTTGACAAAGACAGAGTGTTCGTCGTGAAGGACAAGCTACGACTGAACGTGTTACGCCACACTACCGTTGTCGAGCCATGGTGGGGAAGGACATGTGACCTCGGCAAAAAATGATCAGCTTCGATACTATATAGCACTCTGCTCGATTGCAAATTTCGTCTAGGATAACAAACGATGATTAATATCTCCTGATCGACCCTATAAATTTTTATTTTCATAATCTATTAAGCCATTCAATTAATACAGGAATTATACAGTTTTTATTTTGGTATATTTTCTCCAATACAGATACTGCTATATTTTGTTAACAAAGCCAATAAGGTAAACCAAGTTCTTTAAGGTAGTGGATTTTTCCTTGTGAAAAGAAATTCTTCGCGTTTATGATATGGATTATATGGATCTTCTGGATAATAATGTGGTCTTTTCCAATAACTTGTCACCATCTTATCCAACAAAGCAGATTGTGATGCGTTACAGAAAAGGTGTTGCCTTAGTCTACGTTTCTGATTTGCGCTTTTCAGCCACATACGAGAATGACGTCCAGCACGTGTTCTGATCCATATACCCCTGCAATCGAATAAAATATGTTAGAAACATATTAAGTAATACATGCTATAATTTGTCATAATGATCCCCTACCAATTTAATCTGTAGAATCGATCGAGTACAGCTTTTACACTTTTTCTTTTGCCTTTTTTCAAGGAAAATTTTGTAAGTGTTCTTACAGGAATTGTAACTGGTAATATTGGTGGACGAATGACATTTTCTGTTTGGACCTGACTACAATGTTTAAGAAAGTTCTTGATAATGTTTTATATTAGTATAATACTCTATAATAGATTGTAATATATATTTTTAAATAATGATTATACCTCAATTTTGTCTTTAATTCAATGCTGCCAACATTATTCCAACTGTTGACAACAGAAGAAAGTGCACCAAAGTACTTCTGTTGAGCATACTGAACAAGAGGATACTGTTTACGAATTACAGTATTTGCGAAACCAGCGATATTGGTATGGGCAACAATTCCTAAAATGTAGATACAAAATACATGGTAATTATATAGAAAATGAGCATTCTCTATATAAAATGCAGATTTATGGCGTAAAATTAATGTGAGGTTTCAATGAACGCGCTCATGGTTACAATTCCACGGCGTTCCTTCTGTTAGAAGACCGGAATGGCTCTGCCTTTCGGTCGGACATAACCTATACGCCACGAACTTCGAACGATTATCGTATAACGATTTATCGAATTTGAACGAATAATGACTTAAGACGAAGCCAACGAACTATCACGTAGCCCGACAAAGTCGGTGGTGGTAGATGTACGAGGAAATTTAGACTACGTACCTCGAATTGCGGTATTAACAATACGCAACATTCTTCTTTTCGTGTAGTTCCGTCGGTGACCAGCTGTTTTGTGCCGTCGTTCCCTTTTTCCTTTGGCTGCCTGACCGGCCACCCGAAAGATGTTCCGAATTGGATTAAAATTTCCGTGCAACGGTTTAAATAGGGTACGTAAAGTAAGTACAAGGTGAATCGTTATATCCGTATAAACCGAGTGTCTTTTACGGTACGTGGATATGAGGAAAAATGCGAAAGAAACCTGGATTAAAAAGTATTATTCGCTAGGTGCCGATAGACTATTGTCGCGACGTTTCCCGTAATAATATTTAATTTTTCGTTGTTATTTATCGTTATCTCGACAAGAATTAGTTCGTGGTTTTAGTGAGAAATCGTGGTCGTGTCACGACAACGACGTTTTCGCAAGTTGTCAGTGAATATTCCTGCAGACAAGACCAAGGTTGCCCGCCTCGTGTGACAAGATGGCTTAAATTTAGGAGCTTACATAATTCCAGACGATTTCACTGGCGCCGTTGTCCTTTCAGATCAAAAAACAAGGATCCTCCAGACTCTATTTGACAACTAGGTGTTACGAGACACGTGCACGAGTTAAATGCGAACCGGAATGGAGGTGAGTGGACGAATTTTCTGTTTGTTTGATAACATGTTTCTACGATTGTCAAACGCTGTCATCGTTTTTGAAGAAAAGAAGAGTTTAGCCGTTGCTTTTATTTGGGTTTTACGACACACCATTTAATGGACAATTATAAATTTCACGCGTTTCATAATTGTATTTTTGGGTTAGGTTTAGATTAGGTTATGTTTGATACGAATATTTTATCTGATTCGGTTATAAACTTTTTGGCGTTTTACACACTTCGGTTGAACTTTCAGCATCTATTGCCGTGAAACTGTAATTATTGTTGTAAATTTTTCTACGACTTGTATTACAATCAATTATTACAGAACTAAAACAAGACATGGATATATTTCATTGTATTATATCAAGTAAAATTCTTTATATATCATGCTGACCAGGGAAGGCAAAAATGCTTTATATAAGTGTGGTTTTGTGTTTTAGGTTTTTCAAGGATGTCAAACTTACGTCCAGAATATCTGGACATCGGTATTCAACCGATTCACCAAAGAGGTATTCAAAATTTAAACCCAAGTGCACTGTTCTTGTTGTGTTATATAACAAAATTGCATGCATGATCTATTTCTATGGATGAATTCATTCTAATTTGATTGTTAATTTCATTGCAAGAGATATACATTTTAATAGTTAAATATATGTATTACTAAAGAAATCATAATAATTATTGCATAGTTGTTACATACTGTTTGAATTTTGAAGACTGAAGTACTGTTTATATATGGATGTATAGAAGTTTAAAACTTTTTTGTTATAAATATTTAGCAGTCTCTGCAATTTCAGAATTACAAATTATTTGATTTTCTTGCTTTTGGGTTGCATGGATTAGTGTCATAGTTAAACATGTATATCTATTATAATTGTTAAAGTGAGAAGGGTCATGGTGGCAACAAGGTACTGTTAACTCTGACTGCTGTGGCAATAGGGGCGTCAGGAGTATTACTTTTTGCAAAACATAATCCAGAATTCCGAGCAACTTTAGAAGGATGGGTACCTGGCACGGACAGAACGATTCAGATCATCTTTCAGGAAGAGTCATCATATTTTGAGTTCATACGTACATACTTTACGTCACTCAAACAATCGTAAGTTTAAATAGTGCATTAAAGTGGTTACCAAATTCTAGATTCTGCAATTAACTATTTTATGTTTGCAATACATGGAGTAATTTCTTTTCAGAATAAGTTCCATCTTTGAGAACGAGCCAAAAAAGTCAGGTCAGATTTATCAAAAAAGTTTAGATTGCATGAACCTTGAAGATTACATACGTGAGCTCTGCTACCCATTCCCAAATGATTTCTCCTGTTCTTCCTTTTAGTTTACTAAGTGTTAAAGATTTTATTATATTGAAAAAAATATTTTGTTTAATGTACTAATTATTTTGCTTACTAACATTTGACAATAACATGTGTACTGTAGCGCCGAAATCAGTATTCGAGCACCTATTTGAAAAGAAGGAACAGCCTATTAACAAACCTTACTCTGAAATAAGATTAAGCAAAGAGAAGGGAGAAGAGATCGAAGTTGGTACGTTTTTTTTTTATTTTTTTTTTTTTATTAAATATATGAACCGGTATGACGGAAGTCTTCTCTAGTAGTATAAAAATGAATGGATATGTATAACATTCGTTTAGTTGCTGAAAAACCTCCACCACCTGTTGAAGATATACCTAAGGAATTAATGCCAGAAAGTCTGGTTGAACTAGAAACATCGTGCGGTCAGACCGCGTCTAAAGCGATTGCAGCTTATCAAACAGCAACGTGTGCTATTCAAGATTACAACCAAGATGTAATGAAAGTTGTGGATAGCGCTGATAGTTCCGGTAGTATCGTATGGAACAGGTATGTATCTTTCGTGCATTGTATTCTATATTAGCTTACGATCGTTTATAACCTCAAATTTGTAATGAAATGTATTCGCAATACAGATTAAAGACAGCAACGGAAAAGAGGAAAGAAGCGGTCCAACAGGCAGAGGGACACGCGAACGAAGCATTAGATTCGCTCAAGAGAATGTTTTACCTGATCGATGATCCTAAATTCGATGCACCGTCGCACATGAAAACAGCTGCCAGACGAAACATCAAGAAAATTTTAGACGACGTTGACGAGGCTAAGAAAAAATACGAGACGGAAGTGCAAACCGGCAACATGGCAGAGCGCTACTGGAAGCAGGTTAAAACAGCTCGCGAGAACCTTAACGAGGAGTTACAAATACTATTCCCGGATATCAACATTCACGAAAAGAAATTATCGATCGACGAAGACTCGTTCGATTTGTTTGTTCTTCACATGTACAACAAAGTGAGCAATCTACAAAAGGAACTGGAGAAATTGAGGGTAAGCATCTCGGGATTTTAGACTTATTTTTTCATGTAAAATCATCCCCTCTTCGCTTGTACCACCAGTTATGTATATTTGAGTCTGAACCGGCGTACTTACGAATTTCACAGACGGTCGAGGGAAACAAACTGAGGGCAGCGTTGAAAGCGTACGGCGACTCGGCGAATGACGAAAAATTAGACGCGTTGGTATGTCTGGAGTTGAACAAAGAAAAGCAGATCCTCGAGGAACAGTTTAGCAAACAGGTAGGAAAATTAAATGTTCCGTTCAATGGCTACGATATAGAAAATGACCGCGACAACTTTTACCTTTCGAGTGAAATATATATACAGTTTCCGTGTGGCTGTATCGCGGTCGCGTGAATTCGTTCGCGAATGAAATAAAGCGAAAACTTTCGGACGAAGCTGAGAAAGTTCAAATTTATGCTCGCGTTTTGAAATTATTGCGACCGACACCGGAGGATATTTCAAAACCGCATGGAAATATAGAAACGAATCTTTTCGAGTCGCTAGAAACTAAGGTGAAATTAATGTACGAGAGATGCCTCGTTAAAATAGTTTTAACGTGTTGATATTTATTTGCGCGCGCCAGACTACGATAGAAGAAACAAATAATAGATAAGATATAAAATAGATATATATGATTACGTCATAGACGCGAGACATATACGAGGCTTCTAATTGGTAGAGTCAAATCAGTGATACCGTAGTCTACCAATTGGAAGAAACACGCTTCGTGCTATAACGCAAGTTCTTATTATGAAAGCAAGGCTTTCGAACTTTAATACTTTGAAAATATATTGGAAATCGTTGTTTCCTTCTTTTCAATTATTTCGGGATTTCCAACATAATGATTGATGAAATACTTTTCGACGAGGCGTGAAATTTTTGGGATGGAGATTTGCTCAACCCAAGATGGGTTCCCTACGAAAGGAAATATTTTTCCATTCTTGAGGCGTGTAGAGTCTTATTTCTGGGCCACACCGTGCAGAGGAGCGCATGGCGTACGCTTCATGATACAGGAAAAATTTGGCATTGGAAAAGCCTGGCGTACACTGTCACACTGGCATTATGTGTGTCTACACATGGGACGTGGCATATCCCATATCCTGCAATCGTGCATGTACCTGCATATATGTATATATCTATCGGTTTGGCACGACGAGAGGGGCACATCCATGGCGGAGGGATGATTCCGCCACCCTTCGGGCTTTTTATCTATTTCCATTTGGCACGCCGCCAATATTTCGCTAGTGGGAGGCAATATTATTTCTTTAGACTAGCCCCGCGGTATATCCGGCGTGTACGCGACTAGTCACACCGAGATATCCTCGCTCGGGAATCACTATGACGCGCTGTCGTCATAGCTGTCTGACTATCTATACGAGATTTTCCGCATTTTGCTCTGCATTTCCCCTCTCGGTCAGAAAGCTTGTATAATTGCTTCGCGAAATGGATTCCAGATGAACCTCTGATTATTCTGCGCCAGTGAATAAAATTATTCCATCCTGTTGCTAGATATTTTGTTGAGCAGTTTGCAAATTAAATAATGAGAGCAAACAAACAAAGCGAGATATCGTAATTTGTCACGAAATTAGAATTTTAACAGGCCAACGTGTGTCGAAATTAGGTACGTTTAGCTGTTGTAAAATTCTAGCGAAGTTTGGAACGCTTTCGACAGCGATTTCTACCGTTCTTTTTACGACCCTTTGGATTCTTTCGACGTTCGTATCGGTTCACGGCGAAAAATACCATCGTCGCGTAAAGTTCTTAAACGCCGGAAAGACGTTTAAAATTATTTATGATCGGACCGGTTGGTACGGTTTACTAAAACGTTCGATGAAAATTTCATCGATCGTTTCATTTATTTGGAACAACTCCGGAACGAGCGAAATTCGTTTTAGGGGCGACGTTAAATATGTAACTCCGAACACGTACTTCCTCCAATTATCATTTCAAATATATTCGTTTAATCGACGAGCATTGAACCGAAGTTCAATTTAACGTTAGAAACGCCAGATAATGGCGGATTAAATAAACATTTGGACACCTCTTATTGAAACGGGACCGTTCCATTATACCGTGGGTATTTAATTATTCGTCCCACGTTCCGCGATTCAATCCGACGTGAAATGACTCGAACGTGTGACGTTTCTTCGTCAAACAGGGTCGTGGACCTTTCTCGCATCGATTTCAATTAATAATCGATCTTGACCTCCGTTGTTAATGCGAGATTAACATCTTCCTCATCGTCCCCTTACTTTCTGTCATCGTACAAAGTTTCTATATAATTTTTAGAATAACGTCTGGTTATTAACGTAGCAAATATTCGAGTACGGAAAAATTCAACGAACGGAGTACCAACCCTGGGGACAAAATGTTCTTTGTTTTCTTTTTCCCACGGCGCGGAGGCTAAGGGTTGTTTTTCTCGTATTTCGTACGGTGTCCCAGAAGATACGGAGGATTCTTTAACGCGTGGCAAGGGTTGTGCGGTGTCGTGGCTCGTATATCCGGTTTTACGACGGAAGCATCCGACTTTGGAGAAAATATTGCGGAAGAAGCGTGGCCGTCTGGCCAGCGTTCGTAAATTCGAGGAATTCCCACGTTAGAGGCAGATGTAATCGGACGTTTTCGATCTTTTTCCCCGGTTGCTCTCTGCGTGAAATCGATTTCGCTGACCCGCACCTTCTGGTCCCACCACGGACGGTCCGGACTTTACGACCGGAGTGTGGAATAATTTAAAAGTCGACCAACCGTAACGCCGCCAGGAGCCTCGATGAAAATTTCGTCCTAACGCGATTTTAAATCAAACGTTACACTTTTCCTCTCTGGATCGACGTAAAGCGTAAACGTCTCCATTATCGACGCAGCTTTTGGTCGATCGTCACTTGGAATGGTATCAGAAAATTCCAAAACACAATATGAGAAGATAGAAAATTTTATACAGGGTGTTCGGCCATACCTGGGAAAAATTATAACGAGAGATTCTAGAGGCCAAAATAGAACGAAAATCAAGAATACCAATTAGTTGATGGAGGCTTCGTTAAAAAGTTATTAACGTTTAAAGTTCCGCCAGTACTGAATTTTTTTCTCGAAAATGCGCATGATTTCGGGTGTATGTGTATTCACCAAAAATGATTGTAATTGACTCCCGTAATTGAAAATAATTTTTTCAGAACGATTTCAAATTTTTTTTTTCGTCACAAAATTTAGGCACTTCCTGAATTTTTTTCTCGAAAGTGCGTAAGATTTTGGAGGTATGTCTATTCACCAAAAATGATTGTAATCGACCCCCGAAACCGAAAATAATTTTTTCAGAACGATTTGAAATTTTTTTTTCGTCGCAAAATTTAGGCACTTCCTGAATTTTTTTCTCGAAAGTGCGTAGGATTTCGGGGGTATGTCTATTCACAAAAAATGATTGTAATCGACCCCCGCAACCAAAAATAATTTTTGCAGAACGATTTGAAATTTTTTAATTTTGTCGAAAAATTTCACACCTCTCGAATTTTTTTCTCGAAAGTCGGTAGGATTTCGAGGGTATGTCTAATGACCAAAAATGACTGTAATCGACCCCTGCAACCAAAAATAATTTTTTCAGAATGATTTGAAATTTTTTAATTTAATTTTGTAATAACCTTTTAACGAAGCCCCAATCAAGAAATTTATATTCTTGATTTTCATTTCATTTTGGCCTCTTGAATCTTCTATTAAAATTTTTCTCAGGGTTGGTCGAACACCCTGTATAATATTCAAATGCTTAAGAAATAGGTCACCCCACCGCCTGGTATTGGATGACATTTTTTTTTTGTATGTGTTATGAAGTTCTAAATTGACAAAATGTCAATTCTAAGAATATCGAATGCGTCCTGAGATTAGAAACAGAAGCACGTCTGGGACAGCGTTATTTTTGGAGGTATCTGTCTGTGAATCCTACGCTTCGTTTTGAACTAGTTCTGTCTAAATTCGTGCGGCTTTCAGACACGACAACATTGACGAATCGTAGAATAGTAATAGATTTAACCTCTCTTCTTACGATCGTTAATGGACAGGTCGGATTTTCACCCCTATTAAGCCTCGTTAACTTCCTGCGCCATCCAGACACTTTGGGAGGAATTCAATTTTCCACTGTCTCGCTAGATAAAAGGAAGCATGAACCTCGCGATCCAATTAATCGTATCATTCTCTCCGTCAATAATTTTGATTTCTGCTTCACTCCTATATTAAATTAAGTTAATTCTAGCATTTCGAAGGTTTAGCGCGACATTTACCTTACCTTTAACATATTTTTAAATCGCGTACAAATTTCATTTCCAACTTGGTGACCGGTCTAAACAAATTTCAAGAGACAGAAACGAGTTCCAAACGGGTCAACTCCTAATTGGAGTTTCAGTTTTTCGTAACGACGGACGATTAGAATGCAAATAACGACGAAGTGAACGCGGACACGAATTCGGTTCGTCGATGGAAGTTGGTAATCGTTTACGCGTTCGAGAAATTAGCGAGACTTCGATAATCGTGGTTCGGGGAACAAAGAAGAGATTTCATGATTCGATCTCGAGATTCACGGATTCTCCTCTGGAAATTGTCGTCGTCCCCTCGCTTTGTTTCGCTGGATGTTTAGTTCGGATCTATTGTCGGGCATAACAACGAACCGTTCCACGGATTTTGAAGACGGAACAGAGGACGCCTCAAGTTTTCCCGTCGTAAACTTTCATGGAAATTGTGATTCGACTGAGAGAGCGTCGCTCGCCGGTCTCTAATAGCTTTAAATCCTTCTCCTCTCCTCGTTCACCGCGATTTCAGCTCGTCGACGATTCGTCGAAGTTAATCTACGACTCCTAGAAAATTGCTATTCGATACGAGTCGACGTTGATTTGTCTCCGCGGAGTTCGAGTGCCCGGTGCTCCACTGTCGCTAACGAGAGTCTATGAAAGTTGTAATGAACAGTTTTATAACAAATTCTGCTCCGTTCAATACTGAAAGAATCACGACGAAAGAATTTTATTTTCCAACAAGTTCAAACTCCAATTTTCGAGTTCTAATTTTAACAATGTTAGAAACAAGGGAATAATATTACTTCGACGTTTCGACCTCTTTCCTAGGCCCTGTTCCTAATAATTCGTGTATCAAAGGCTCCCAGGCTGACGTTTACGGTAGTAGATGCGAAACATGTCCGACTACAGACAGTCCATTATCACTTGCTCTGTTCCATTTCCATTTTACGATCCTCCGCTCTTCCCTGCGATTGTTAACGCCATTACTATCTTGTAAATTATTCATACTACGGTTGCTAGCTCTATCGAGAGTTAATAGGTCTGAAAAGTAATGGTCGTCGTAAAGATTTAAATGTTCCGACCTTAACGCGAGCCTTGTTCGACATTTAAAAAAAAAATTTCTTCAACGTTCGGATCATGTTCACGGATTATTCTCGCAAGGTCACACGTGGAGTTTGCGTTGTAAATATAGCTGCGTCGTCGAGTTTCGAGAATCGAATTTTCTTTCAACGACGTTCCATATCCCTGTTTGCGCTCTCGTTCAAATATCCAGCCCGTCGTTCAATTAAAAAGACGCGCGCGAAGGTCAGCCCGAGAATCACCGAATCGAATATCAAAATATCGACTCTCGAGTATCGAGGATTCGGAAGACATCGCTCGAATCGCGGTTATCGACACCGTCGGACCGAAATCTATTACTGCCGGACGTCTTCCCGAGCGTCGATCGGAAATGGACGGTATCGATCGTCCGCCATCGTTTCGACTGGCGTTCGTGTTATTAAACTCGACCCTTCCCAAGTCAATCGTACTAAGGAACTCGCGGACAAGGCGTTGAAAAGCACGATTATCGTCTTAAACTCAAGCTCGACGAAGTTTCCGCGCTCAGAAATCGGAAAGTTTCTTTCGCGAAATTCGTGAAAATGGCGCGTTCCTTTCCGCGCAATAAAAACCGGCGTTCTCGAAGCGCTTAATCAAAGTCCGAACCGGGGGGGACATCTAATTTCCTCCGATTGATTTCGGTTCCGGGCAAACTTGGACGTAATTTCTACGAATCTTCGTGCATTCTACTTGACGTTGTTCTGCGTGGAAGAGCCTCTCGAGTCTATTTGTTCATCGCTGTGGAACGGATGAAAGATGGTATTAACATCGTGCTTACACGCATCGCAAGTAGAAATAACGATTATAGGTCAGACGCGTTGGAGAAACTTTTCAAGCTCTGTTTCCGATTTTTTTTCAGTAAATATTTTTTAAAAATTCGAATAATCCCAGCTCTAATTTCGCTGCAGAGAATACTATCGAACGGCAGAAATTCACGGTACTTTAAAACGCGTGATTTCGATGACGAAAGCTCCCGCTGTCGATCGACCCTCGTGGAATCGAGATTCTTCTACCCGAATTGGGTAGCTCGAACCGATCATGGCGCTCTATTTCCGACGGATTTGGCCGATCCGGCTTCGAGTTATCGTGCAGATGGCCAGAGACAGCGAGAGGAGCAGTTTTTGATTTTTCAAAACGGATTAGAGGACGACGCACCGGATTAACATCGTTCTGGCGGGCGGATCGTTCCGCTCGCAGGATGAAAACGAGCTTTGTCCTGGCACAATATTTTTTTTTCTCCCTCTCTCACTCTCTCTCTCCTCCCCCGACACCCCTCGTTTTTACACACGACGCCGAGCGTCCGATTAATTTAATTTTCGCGGCGTGGGAAACACCGTCGTGGTGTCAGGAATCATATTTCCCGTTTTCCTCTATTTTTCCCATCCCGGGGTTTTCATTTTTTCTGTTTCGCTTCCCGCCGTATTCACGGGGGACGCGTTTCCGTGCCCCTCTGCGGCCAATTCGATTTTCGCGCCAGATATACTGGGGAATTTTTCGATTTAACAGAATATTCATATACACGGAGTGTGCTTTCCGATTTCGATCCGGGCTCGCTTCCGGGGACCGTGAATCCCCCAATTTCCCTATCCGGTTTTCTTTTAATCCTTCACTGGATTTTTCTCTTCGGGCGACATTCAAATTTTCTTCGCGTTCCATAACTGGTTTTTAGAATCTCCCATTAAAATTTATCTCAGGGATGGCTGAACACCCTGTATATAAAAATAGATCGAGCACTTGTGAGTAAGGTACGGGTCAAGCGTAGCCCTCTGTTGGTGAATGCCGGGAACTGTCGCTACATTCTCTTTACTGGATTCGTTTCTAGGCCACACAACGCTGTACAATATCTTATCTCGAAATTTTTACGAAAGTTCCTAAAAGCATAGGCAGTAATATTTTCATAATTTGGTGATCTGGAGGACGAGAGATTTGCGATGCAACAAAGGCGATACGTCGTCGCAGTTATGCGTAATTCCACCAGCGCCGTGATTGATTCAGCCTCGTCGACGTATCAAGTCGTCCAGGAAGCCCCAGAAACGGTGGCTTATCGACGCCCTAATGGAATCCGTGGGATAACCCAGTCCCCCGATCTCCAGGTACAACAGCGGTTTCCAGGAAGATCTGGCGAGCCAATCGAAGGATTTCGAACGGTTTCCCGAGACCCGTGGTGTTCGCAGACCTGTCGCCGATCTCTCTTCCTCTCGACGTACAGCACGACGGGTTGTCGGGTCAGCCGGGCGTTAATTATTGACACGGCGTTGCTGTACATAGAGGACCGGAGGTGGCCCTGACGCGGTCCTGGACCGTCCCAGGAACAAGGATCCACAGGCGTAGCGCATACAAAGTACCCCGGGCAGAAAGCGAGCGAATCCGTGAGGGACAATGACGGTCAGACGGCGAACACTGCCGGACGACGAAGAAACGAGAGATTAGAGCCACCCCGGCGACCCTTGGGTCACTTACCAATGAGGGCAGCTAGCGCGAAGCCTTAAGCGCGTATAATTAATCAAAGTCTCATTACGCTAATGTTCCCACGGCCTGCTCTCGTCTCGGACCGCGCACTTTCACCTCGCGGACGCTCGACTCTTCCCTTTAATCGCCTCTACGATACCCTACCTTGGATCAGAACACGGGAAAATTCTTATTTATGTCAAAATTTCTTTACTAATGATGGAGAAATAATTGTGTACCTTGGACGTTGTACAAACATTCTGTAGAGGAAGTTGTCGTTACTAGCATTTTTAGAGGACGGCAAATCAATAGAAAAGTGTTGTCAAATATTGTTCGATTTTTGGGGACAGCAATTATTGTCCTTCACCCTGACAATATTTGATCAGGTGAATCGTTAGGGCACCTAATCCAGGAAGTGGATTAGGGTTGACAGTAATAGCTCCTTTTTTTTTAATCAAGACATTCAATAGTACCAAAAAATATGTTTTTTATAAATAGAGCAGAAAGAACGGAGGAGTGAGATCCAAGCGACGATTTTCGAAGGGGTGGGCTGTGAAAAAAAAATGATAAGAAGAGATTCCCACAGGGAGGACCGTTTCGCGTTTCGCGACTGAGCTTAATAATTCTGAACCCGTTGAAAGCCTCCCTCTCTACTCGTCTTATGTCTTATAAACTCGAGAAAATAAGAGTGTACTTGGCCCAATCTCCAGCGCGAAACAACGCGAGACAAAGAGAGCGGCGCAGGCGGCAACCGAAAGAATATATATTTTTCTTGCACGCTCTACACCGACCGGGGGAACTCGATGTAACTTGTTTCGTACTTGTTTACGCCCTCGTTGCCGAAAAGCGTGCCTTGAAATATAAGGGGGTGGTTTCGTTGACTGCTCTTTTTGTCCCGGATCGCTACAATTTTATCTCCTTCCGCGCTTTATAGCTCGTTGAATTTTATCGCGATTTTAAATTAAAGTATCCGCGGAATGTTTCTTTCCTCATCTTTTCGTAAAAAATTCAAAGTACCAAATAATCCTTGAATCCGCGTCCTGAGATCTCTCAAATGAAATTCCTCGACGGAAAATTCTTAATAATTCAATATGAAAGTCGCTTTACCTTCTGTCGTTTCGCGAGAATGATTATTAAATTCATACGAACGACACCCTCTATTTTAGGAATCGATTTCTTTCGACGTGTGTATATCGTCTGCGTTCGTGAAACATGTCGATGTAAAATTTACGAGCGATTGGATTTTGTGTGTGGCAGTTGTTGGAGGAGCAGAAGAAGTTCGAGAACGAGATGCGTCGAGAGCTGAAGCTGCAAGAACAGGTACACACCGATCATCTTCGAGAGGCGCTCATGATAAAGGAGCAAGAAGCGCAGAGGAACTTGAACCGCGCGATCAGCGAGCAATCCCAGTCCGATTCCTTGAAGTACAAGGCGCAGCTTGCCGCCATCGTCGGCAGGTTACGTGGCCTGGAAGCGGCACTGAAGGGTGAGTGCTTTTTTTTTATCATTCCTGCACATTCTACTTTACAACAGGGACAAAAGTTCCGAAGGAACTATGCGTCGCGAACGAATAGTTCTCTCGCAAAAGGTTGTTAAACATTGAACCAATCCGCCGCGCTGCTCGTAAACACGGTACAGCACGTGGGGGAGGAGTGGGAGAGTTACGCCACGCCTATGAGCAGCTCTGGGAATTGTAATTGGCTCGAAACTTCAACAGTCTTTTGCGAGCAAACTAATCATTTGCAACGTTTGGTTCCTGTTGAACTTTTGGTCCTCTTTGTGAGAGGAATGCATAGAAACTATAGGAAATTTTAATGTTTACTCGAGAAATTGACCTTTTGATTACATTTCAGTGTGCTCAGATATTCGATAGTTTGATACTTATTGATTAATACACGAAGGTTCATTTGGTGTGCCCTTTTACAATCATTCGCATGGTCGAGAATATTTTTTACAAGCTACTTCTTTAAGAGCACATAATTTTTATCTCGTCTCGTGTTAAATATTTAATAAAATCAAGTTTTTTCATCGCGTTTCTAAATTATCAGATTTAAATTCGAGAAACGAGCGAATTCGTAGGTAATCGCGTGTAGGTACTCGAAGGTTCGACATAAAGGTAAGTTTATTTTTAGGCATCCTTATACTCGTTTATCAAAGGTCGCGACGCGATTAAGCTAAATCGCTGAATTCCAGTGGCGAGTATTATTACGGTGCATAAAGTTCCTTTTGTGGGCGGAACCGTCGCGTGTCGCGGTGTCCAACTCTTGCGTTTTTCTTAGAAAGTTCGATACCAATGAACTAATTCCACTCCATGCCATTTTGGGGATCGAAATTTCTAAAAAACTGTGTCAATATTTCGTTAAATTTTCTGTAAAACCCAATTCGAATTCATGCAAGAAAATTCCTCGAATTTGACTTTTCTATGACCTCGTTTCAACTAACTCCAAGTACTTTTAGCTGATATCTTTCAAGGAGCATCCAACGAGTGAATTAGAGTAAGATCGTTGTATCGATAGGGTTGGCACAATTGTTCGATTAGAACTTAAGGAGTAATTTTCTCTGGATTCGGTGTCCACCTATTTCGTACGTGTAGCGTCTACAAATCTACCGTGCGATTCCGCGTCCCCACGGTATGCAAATGTCCGAAAGGCAACGGTTCCTTTGTCCGGGTGGTTGGGAGGAGGCCGCGAAACGTCCGGCCAGGGCCTCGCCTTTGTCGCGTCCCCCATTATTTCGTCCCGTGCCGCTTAATTACACGGGCAAAAACGTGCACCGTGCCCCTCCTGGGACGACCAGCGACATTTTCGGAGACGTCTGATCTCCCGTCGGCCGTTTCTCTTTCGCTTTGTGACGGAGGACCGCGGAACTTAGATCGGATCGGATTAAGTCGAGTTCACCGCCGAGACTCGCCCCGGGGAGGACGGTTCTGGCGAAAATTAAGATCCCCGGGTCGAGAACGATACGCGATTAAATTTGCCCCGAGAACTAGAAACAACAATCGTCTCTCGCGACCTTCGAGAAAGGTCACCCCTTTTTTACAGTTTCGCCGATTGCAATTCTCTTCGGGGACAGTTTGGTTATTTATCGTATTTTCATTTTCAAATTATCGAAAAGTACAATACCGTGGGAAACGGTGATTGTAAATACAGCAGCCATCCGGCTAGGCGGAGAGCGATTAAAATTGTTTCGTAAATAAATTCCAGAAGGAGGGGGGACGCGTAACAAATCGCGGCCAACTTTAATAGTGCAAACGCCGGTGTTCGAATCCGTTCGTAACGGAAAATATTATATCATTTCCAGCGCGGAGCCTACGGTGCTCGAATATTAATACGACTCCCCGAGTTCGGTCACGTAAAGCCGCGCCAACATTTCCATGCTCTGTTTCTTTTCTCTACGATTCCTCCCTGCGACCACCCCTCCACGCGAAGGAAGTTACAGCGGTAATAAGTAAAACAGATTTCCCGGCAACAGCTCTCCCCCCCTCCCTCAGCTCGCGGAACGATAATTTAACTTCGTTAACATTTATGTACCTCGAGTTTTCTCTCGGGCCTGTTCGCTCGGAATATCCATTTCTTCGTTATTATATCCGGGCAAGAACTCAATCCCGAACGGAACAAACACGCTGTTCCCGCGTCGTTTCCCTCGGAAAAACCCCCGGGAAAAGTTCCCCGGTCGGGTATTGAGTTTAGAAAGCTCCGCAGGGAGACTGGCAACTTCTTCGACGGGGACAACGGCTGGTCCCCCTCAACTTTTGCCCCTTTTCTTCTTAATCGACGCGCTTCTTGTCGGCCTGGATCTACACGGTGCCCCGGAAACACCGTCCAAACTAGGAAACTTCAAATCACGACTATGGGAAATTAATTTTAACTCGGCGTAATCTTTGGGAATTTTAAAAGTAAATACGGGGGTACCAAGCTTATACCACGCGTGACTTTCTGTATAGTAAACGGGCGGACAGAATATTTCCAAGTCAAGCTTGGCGATGAGCAGGGTTTAGTCATCGAATATTATACGATTTTCACGCTCTGTTTCTTTCATCTAGCCTCAAAGGCTTACCGCGTTTTACTTGCTGCATATTTACATCTTCGACGAGGTATTATTTATAAAATAAAAACTATCATAACACGTACTAAATTTTCATTTTTACGATCATTATATTCACAAGACTCTCCTGGATCGAACGTCGATGTTATTCTATAAAAAAAAATCATTTATCCTCTCATCTATCACCTCCGGTCTGTAAATATTAATTTTATGGAACCAGAAATTAGCCAATCGTGTCCAATGTATTCCAGCTCTCATTTTATTTGCGGACCGATGTATACACGCACGCGAATGAAAACTTCCTAAACGCGCAGTACTTTCAAGGCTCTCCTAATATCGAAAGCTCGCGAAGTTCTTTAAGAGCGGCCTCGAAATCGCGAGACCAGAAATTCATCGAACCGCTCACCGCGTTCGGATATCGAGTATTTTGATTAAATTTTCCGTTTTTCATGCAAACATCCGGGGCAAATACTCCGCCTCGAGGGGTGTGTTTTATTTTGGTCTTCGCGCAGCCCCTCTAACCGAGTGAAACGTCTTGACTCCTCTCTTGGTAAAAGTTTGCGAAGCAAAGTTTACTCTCTCTCTCTTTCCCTCTCTTTTATTCGATCAATATTTTACCGTAGCCTTGTTGACAGACTTACTTAGAGTTTCCAGTTCTCTCGACCGCGATCGAGAACGTCGAATTTCGTCGGAACACCAGGATATCTGTTCGTTTTTCCTTCGCTGAGCGGTCGATCTCGTCGCAGATCGGGACAAAGTGTTTTCGACGCTCCGTGAATCATACGTTTGGGAATCGAGGGGATGACAGTCTGGGGGGGTGGAAATAGGTCGAAATAACGCGGTAAGATATCGTCGGAATCTGGATAATCGGGGGGAGGTATTTGCCGGGACAACGCGTGTTTCCTTCTGGCGAAACATCGACTCGCTCGATTTCCCTGCGCGCTGGCGCCAGATCCTTTGACGTTTTATCGGGAACAGAAGGCTCGCAGCTTCATCCGGATTAACTCAAGTCGAGCTTAATGCACTTTCGCGGCCCGTTATCGCTGCTTGCACGTCGTCGGAGATTAATTTACGATTAACAGATACCCCGGAACGATCGCCGGATCTGAGAGCCCGCGTTCCACTATCGCGAAACTGGTCTGACGTTTTCAATAAAGAACGTCACGCGTGTGCCAGATCCCTAAAACGTCAACTAAATTGTGCTGGAACGTGAAATATTCAAATATTAAACGGAAGATCGTTCTACCACTTTTCTTATATATTTCCACCGTTTAAATAACGACTCGATTTTGGAATATTATAACAATATATCGAGTGCAGGAAAGTTTGGCAAGTTCGAGACCCACTCGTGAATAGGGGAGTAGGAGAGCGATATAGTGGTACGTGCATTTGCATACTGTTCTCCCAAAGAAATAACTCGAACGGGCGTGCATAAAAGTCACCAGGACGGAAAAAATAAAAGTCCACCGGTGACGGTTGAATATTCCCAAGCCTAATTTCAATTTTTTGTTTCCTCGATTCGTAGCTCGGGATTTATTTTTTTCGAGAACGGAGCGACCCGGACTCGTGAAACATTGCCGTAAAAGGAAATTGGCTCCTGGCATGGAAAATTGGTACACGAAGATATTGGTATTTTGAGAAAATTGCTGTAAAGTAGAGCACGTTCTGCGGTAAATGGTTATAAAGAGGTATTGGGTTGTTATATAAAGTTGCTATAAAGTTTCTTGCCTCTTTATGGTCGGAGTACTTTACGAAAGCGCCCGGGCTTCTTTGCGAAAAGTTACTATACGAAGTTACGGACATTTTTCCCCGTGGAAACTTCTTTCAGGTATCCGCCGTTTATGGAAACTAAAAACACAATATGTCGCTTGTGTATCGTTATTAACAGAGGCGTTACGAATTATTATTAACTTTATAGCGCGAAACTTACCGTCGACCGTCTAAAATAGTCTCGAAGGGAACCTTTCCCGAGCTTATGGTTCCTCGAGAAAAATTCACCGGGCATCGAGAGTCGAGAATATCGTTTATAGTAAATTACGTGAAAATTTTGCAACAGCGTGCACGTACTTTTATTGCGCCATCGCGGATGAATTATTACGGGGGAGGGATGCCGAGGGGAGCGAGCAGATAACAGAATTATGGAAAATTCATTTCTAAACGAGATAACGAGTTCGTGCGAGCAACGAGCGTAATTTGTTACTTGACGAAAAATTAGTCGCATCGTTCTTTCCATTTATAAGCTGATCGCATCTCGATGGCATTCAAACTAAAATGGAACTACAACGTTTGCCCCGAAGCGTAAACTTCGTCCATTGCGTGGTAACTCGAGATTAGGTTGATAAAAGTACGTTGTACTCAACGCAAAACAATTTTTTAGGGAATTTTATTATTTTTCATTCCAGTACAAGGTATCTGTAATGTCGCGATGCAAAATTACTGGTC